ATACGTTAAAAAAAAAAAAAAAAAAAAAAAAAGAGATGTTGTCAAAGTGATAGTCCATGTGGACTCACGTGTCCTAACATCTTTTGCTTTCGCTTAGGATTCTCTCTCTTTCTCTCGAGATATATTAAAACATTTTTCTTTCATATTACGAAAATGATAGATAATAAATCGATAATTTTACACTAAATATAGAAATTGATGTAGTCTTGTGTTATAAAATTTTCCTAATCGATCCGACATTAAAAGTATATTGATTTTTCCCCAATAACCGAATACTTTTGTCTGTAAATACTGCATATTTGATTCCATCCATAAATCGATTTTCTTCCCTACTCGCTATATAATCTAGGGCTCAAGAAAATTGAACTTCTCTAATAATTTATTTTCAAATTTTGAATGATTTTTTTTTATAAAAAGTAATATTTATTTTGATGTAAAATTTGATGAATGGCTAATAATCGCGCATATATGTGTGTGGAGAGACATACATATCGAATAATATTGGTAGGTTTGATATGACAACAATCATTGTTGAATGTCTCGAGAAAAGACTAATTTTTATTATCTTAATGCTTTTATTGTTTTTAAAAATAAAAATACTTTGTTATTATCTATTATAATTGATACTAGAATTTTATTGGGTCCTTTTGAAATCCTATATGGGTAGAAACATGATTATAACCAACTATCTAGATAAATATTATTTTTTTTTATAAAATAATTATTATGATTTTAGACCATCTCCTTTTCATTTATGAAAAATATTTTTTTAACGAGTGGGTTATATGATAACTTGAGTTTGGACAAACATGCCTTTGTCTCCTCCTTTTGGTTAGAAGTGTCCCTCTAATTGGTCCCATCCTTTTCCACTGCATATACATTTTATTTTTTTTATATCACATTTAAATTTCCTATTAAATTATATTTCATTGATATAGTATAATTGAAAGTTCACATAAAATCTATACTACAAATTATTCGTAATCCTGTTTTTAAAAGTACGTATCTATATTTTGAAATGGATTTCGAAAGCAGGTGTATACAAATATGTAAATATTTAATATTTTTAATTGATTAAAGTTTGTGTGTGTGTGTATATTTTAATCAAAACCAACGTTAGACATATAGTTTTCTCCAAAAATTTAATGTTTAAATATTTTAGTCTCTTTCTTAATATATTATACTCAAACTCGATATGAAAATTATAATATCGAGAGAGAGATATATGGGACGATGGAATGGAAATATATTGTTCTCCTCGGCGTTTTTGCATTTCGAGACTTGTGTTCTTGCTCTCTACAAACACACCCACAACAAATATATATGTATATATATTAGCAATGCAAATTAGAAAATAATATATATAATATATAATATAATATATATATATATATATATATATATATATATATATATATATATATATATATATATATATATAGGCAGGAGGTATCACAAAATACATGTGCCATGTTAGAATGTACTGTGGTTTTTCTGTTTTTGACTCATTGACAAATTAAATGTGGTTTAAACTACATGGATGACATATACACACACATATATAGAATAAATAAAGAATAATGACAATGATAATAATATTAAAATAATAAAGCTCACGCGGTTTCCGCTTGGAAAAAGGCCATCTTCCTTTTTATTAGTTCCCACTTGCAAAGGTAAAATAGAAATCGGTGAATTTCGCTTTATGATTTGATCTCAAACTAATTTAGATTCAATATTAATTAACGCTGAATGACTATATGGTGAAATAATAAATTTATGTTAACTAAATTTTTATAGCTATATGAATTGTACATAAATATAGTATAGTTTAATCCTAGTTAAATTGATATAATATTACATTTTATAAATAGTTCACAACTTGTGTTTTTGTCACCATGACGGCACGGGGTTGTGTTTTTTTTTTAAGTCCATGACGGGAATAACCGATTAAAATTTAACAATTGTTTTGGTTATAAATTTTCGAAATCGAATTGACCAGGTTGAAATAATGGTAATTGAATAAACTTAATCTAATGTTCATCTATATATTACCGTTTAATCTACAATAATAAGATTGTTTTTATAATATTACACCTATATTATACAACTGACATGAGAACTTTAATATTTTCCTTTAATAATATTCCAAAATTTGGTTCATTTATGATTATAACGGAATCAAATTGAATTTATATTTGGTTATAATTTTAATCAGATATAACCAAATAACCGTTTACTTATAAAATTTGTAAAAATATAAAATAACTAGATTTGAATTAACTGGAATTGAATAAATCGAAGCGAACCGTTCGGGTACAGGTTAAGCGTGACTAGAGGGATGCACAAATATGATATAATTTATTAAGAGTAAGGAATTTATTAAATTTAAGGGTTTCTAATTTTAGATGGTAAAACTTTGATATATATTGTTACTGTAGCAGACCGAAATTCCAAGCAACCGAGCTTCCAGCTCTCAACACCTGATGAACGGAAAAATAACATATACACTTAACATTCTTGCACTCCATTTACCAGATTGCCCCGGAGTTGTTAAATCAGTAGAGCTCCAAAATGCGACGTCGTCTTCAGATCTTTCAGAAACCTCTGCTCGAGTCCAAGGCTTCTATTCTCAGCTCTCTACTAAGGTGAACTTACAGTGTAAATTGCAGATAACTTCTTCATATATATATATATAACCAATTGAAAGGCTCTTCTATGAGTACATAGTTTTTGTTTGACCTAATTAAATTGAATCAACAAAAATTATGAGATTAAATTTGGGCAGTTGATGCCAATTGTTTTTAGCAATATTTACCTTTTTTTCTTGTAAGCAATAGTCAAATTTAAAGAAAATTCAAAAAACATGTGTAATAAGCAACAACTTTTAATGTACTAAATAAATATTTAAATTATACTAAAATTTCCAAAAACCATCAATTTATAAAAATTTTATAAATCACTACACTACCACTCACACCGTTAAATTTTAATAATCTAGGCGATAAAATGTTGTCATATTAAAAAAATTATTCACACATTGCTTTAGAAAAAAATAGAAAACCGTATTTTATATGATTAGTATATTTATTTATGAAATTAAAAGTTAATATATTTTTTTATTGTAGTTAACATATATTAATATATTTTTAATTGTATTTTATGAAATGTTTTAAACTTTTAGTTTTGATATTTAGAAACAATCCACCAAACCAAAAACCACCAATGTCTTTAATGCCAACTGTAATTTTTTTCCCGGCTAACAGTGGCCAATACTTTTCACAATTTCCACGTTCAAAATTGCGTATTTTTATTATTGGGAGTTATTGCTGTAAAAATGGAAAAGGCAAGAAATAAAACTGAATCAAAATTCATTTAATTTATAATTTTGTAATATAAATATATTTTTTAAAAATTATGATTGAAAAAATAGATATACGAATAAATATAATATTTTTATTTTTTTACAAGATGAATATTTTCATAAATATTTTATTTCTGAAACGATGCTTATATTTTTAGTATTTTTGTTTGGCAATGATAAAACAAATAAATAACTGTATACAAAGAGTTCTTTGAAAATTGTATGTTACAAATTAAAATATATCCGAAAATCATCATTTCTCCAAAATTAAAAACGAATCAGAGAAAAGAAGCAAAATCAGAAACCGAAGCAATTTTCGCGTTCCTCTTCTCTGGAGGAGAGAGAGAGAGAGAGTCTGAAAAGGCAAAGAGAAATAGAAGAAAGCCAGTGACCTTTTTGTATCGGCAAAGAATTGCTTATTGTGGTTGGTAGATTTCGAAATCTGAAGCTTTATTTTTTGATCGAAGCTTTTGGATTGGTGATGCAAATGACAACCATCGTCTCCTTGTTTTGACTTCATTCGTCGCCGGAGCTCCGATCACCTGATTCCGCCGCCGTCAAAGTGTCATCAGATGGGAGGTCGCTGCTCTAAGTTCTCTTTCTGCTTGTTTCACTCTCACTTCAAAGCCGCTTCAGTCCTCGAGTCCTCCGATATCGGTCTGCTCTCTCTTGCTTCTCGGATGTGATTTTTTTTTTCGGGCTTTTAGGGGTTTTCTGAGTTTTTTTTGTTTGGTTTTGTTGTGGTGGAAGAAAATGGTGGGAAAATTGAGAAGAAATCGTGGCCGAGTTTCAAGGAATTCCGTCTGGAGCAGCTGAAATCGTCGACCGGCGGTTTCTCGCCCGACAACATTGTGTCGGAGCACGGCGAGAAAGCGCCCAACGTCGTTTACAGAGGGAGGCTCGAGGACGGCCGCTTGATCGCCGTTAAGCGGTTCAACCGCCATGCCTGGCCTGATCATCGTCAGTTCCTGGTGCGTCTGCTTGAATTCAGATCCTCGTTCTGTTAATCAATCTCTGTGAGTTCGATCTATGGAATATTTATTCGGTCCGGGTACGTATTGTGAATTCATTTGGTTTATTAGGAGGAAGCGAGAGCCGTTGGAAATCTCAGGAGCGAGCGATTGGCGAATCTGATCGGATGTTGCTGCGAAGGCGAGGAAAGATTGCTCGTTGCCGAGTTTATGCCTCACGAAACACTCGCAAAGCATCTCTTCCATTGTAGGTTACTTGCTCTCTGATCTGTTCTATGGCTATTGAACTATGAATCCAATATGTGGCTAGTTTGTTCTTTTTGTTGTTTGATGCGACCATGAACCATGAATCCCAAAGATTCCATTGAAATGCCATGAATTATTTTCTTGTGGGTTATACTGATCAACGGTGTTTGCTCGCAGGGGAAAGCCAGCCGATGAAATGGGCAATGAGATTAAGAGTTGCATTATATTTAGCTCATGCATTGGAATACTGTAGTAGCAAAGGGAGAGCTTTGTATCATGATCTCAATGCTTACAGGGTTTTGTTTGACAAGGCAAATTCCTAATTCTTGTTCTGTTCCTTCAAATAATTGTTGATATTTGTTCTTTTAACTCTAGTATATGGTTATTTTTGGCTCTGTGCAGGACGGTAATCCGAGGTTGTCTTGCTTCGGACTCATGAAAAACAGCAGAGATGGAAAGAGTTACAGTACCAACTTGGCATTTACTCCTCCAGAGTACTTGAGAACCGGTAGATAGATCCTTGACTGATCTATGTGTATATTCCTTGGCTTGCATTACTGAGATTTTGCCCGAAAACAATATTCCCTCACGAATTTATTTGTTCCTCAACCAGGTAGAGTGACCCCAGAGAGTGTTGTATTCAGCTTTGGAACCGTTCTGCTAGATCTAATGAGCGGCAAACATATTCCACCCAGCCATGTGAGTCTCTCTACTGATTAGTTCTACGAAGCATAGAAGTGATGTAGGACCTGTCTGATCGTGTTCTTGTCTGCTTTCTTATTTCTTGCAAATGATCTGTCTGTCAAAGAGAAGATATATTCTTTGTTGTTAAGAATCTGAATTCCTACATGCTGTGTAGATTTATGTACTTGGAAGCGTTACTAAGACATTCTTTCCTCGATGGGCTTGCATAGATTTGATAGGGACATCATCTGACCTTCTTCTTGTTCGACTGCAGGCACTTGACCTGATCCGTGGGAAGAATTTCGCGATGTTGATGGATTCTGCTCTGGAGGGCCATTTCTCAAACGAGGATGGAACCGATCTAGTGCGGTTAGCCACCCGTTGTCTGCAGTACGAAGCTCGTGAGAGGCCAAATGTGAAATCTCTGGTCACTTCACTCGCCTCACTTCAGAAGGAAGCCGATGTAATGATATTAAAAGAAAAAGAGCTTTGAACGAAGAATAAATGTAGCATTTCTGACTCGGGTATATCTGATTAAACAACCTTAATTAAGCAGGTACCATCATATGTTCTGATGGGTATACCCCATGAAACCGAGACCATGGAAGAACAGCCACTTTCATTGACACCCTTTGGTGATGCGTGCTTGAGAGCAGATCTTACAGCCATACATGAGATACTCGAGAAGGTTGGGTACAAGGATGATGAAGGGATCGCCAATGAGGTACTATTCCTCGTCTGTGAATGAACTCAATGTTCGATGGCTTTGACCGTCTGATATTGCGGACAATTACTTACGTACGTTTTGGTAACATTTTTTCCACAGCTCTCGTTTCAAATGTGGACTAACCAGATGCAGGATACCCTGAACTCAAAGAAGCAGGGCGATGTAGCTTTCCGTTGCAAAGATTTTACAACCGCCATCGATTGCTACACTCAGGTAATATATATACACACCAAAATACCATAGGCAGAATATCTATCTCTCTGCATGTTTGAATCTAACAACAACGGAAGTGGTTTTTGTCGATTCAAGAATGTTGGATAATCGAGCGAGATTTCTGGAACCCTTTTCGGATCTCTTGATCTTAAAACATTGCAATGCTTCAACAATACCCAGAATAGGGTCTCTTTAAGAATGTAACCCTTAGAAGATCTACAGAATGACCCTTAAACAGTGTCTGTGCATTCATATTGTTATCCATACTCATCAAAACAATAAAATCTTAGTGCTCATTATGATCTGCACAACTTGATTGTTCACAAACACACACATACATATATACATACCTACATATGCTGATATCATCATATACAGTTCATAGAAGGAGGGACGATGGTGTCGCCGACGGTATATGCGAGGAGATGCGTATCGTATCTGATGAACGAAAACGGGCAAGAGGCACTGAACGACGCGATGCAAGCGCAGGTGATATCCCCTGATTGGGTCACTGCTTTCTACCTTCAATCTGTCTGTCTCTTCAAGCTTGGCATGGAGTCTGATGCTCTTCAAGCTCTTAGGGACGCCTCTAGCTTGGAATCCAAGAAGAAGAAGATCATTCATTGAACCCAAACAAACAACAGAAAAATGCTTCAATCTTTGTATGTATAGGTTTTATTATATATACATTTTATATGTATGCGTGTGTGTATCTATCTATGTATGTGTATACGTTTTGATGGGTTTCTCTCTTTATCGGTTGTCGTTTATGATTTGCTCCTCGAATGTTCACTGGTTTCTTCAACCTCTGATTCAGAGCATCGCTTTTTAGGTTCATTTTGAGAAAAATATCGTTATATCATATATAATAATAATAATAATAATAATATGGAAACTATGGTGTATTTATTTGATATGTGATTATAATATGGGAAATATGGAAAAAAGTGTCCAAACAACATAGCACCAATCAATCAATCAATCTCTCTCTCTCTCTCTCTCTCTCCCTCCTCTTCCATGCATACATATATGTGTATATATGAATTAATTAACGAACGTAATCAATTCATATATCGTCGAAATATAATAAGATCGATATATTAAATGGATAGAATTGAGTCTGACACATGGCTTCATGAGCTTCACATGGGAGCCGGAGCAAGTGCAGCGCCGGAGCTGAGGATCTCTAACATCGAACGGTGAGGATTTGCCCGATGAGCCTCACATAGATCTGGCAAAAATGCACCTGCATGCAATGCAATGCAATGCACTCGTTCAATTAATTATTATAATAATGTTATAAAGCTCATAAAAGAAATATATTTATCTGGTTTTTTTATTGGTTATTTCATATTTTGTTTTGATTCCTTTGTTTTTTTTTATTAAAATATTATACTGAATTTATCTTTATTTTTTATTGGCAAAAATATTTCTTTTTTAAAAAAAGCCGATTTTTAAGTTATTTTTCTATTCTGTTTAAATTAATTCATTATTTAATAATTATAATAATTTTCAGATTTTATAAAGGAGAGATATTTATATGGTTTTTTAAGGTGGTTATTTCGAACTTTTATTTGGTTTTGTTTGAATTTTTTTATTAATTTTTTTTATGATATAAAACTTATATTCAATCAGTTTGGAATTAATTTTTATTGATAAAGATATTTATTTTAAAATAAATCTATTTTTAATTAATTTTTTTTGTATGAATTTTTTTTATAATATTTATATATATATATATATATATATATAATTATATAATTATATATATGTTCTTCGGTTTTGTATAGCTAAACCGAAATGCACGTATATTATGGAACAAAGATTTTGTCGGAAATTCACTTGGGTTATTATATATGGAACAAAGAGCATACCTTCACCGGCGGCGAGGTTGAAATAAAGATCGACGATGTTAGGGCAGTTGTCGTAACAAGCCCGTGAGCAAAGCTTCGCCGCGAAACCAGGTTCCAGCAATTTGTCCGACGAGATTCCGACCGTTTTCCGGTCAACCCCACAAGCCGCCATGCAATCATCGGTCTCCACGTGGTTCACCATCCCCTCCACGTCCACCTCCGACGTCCGACAATAGAATTTTCCGGCCACGTTTTCAGTCTCCAACACGCATCTTTTCCCCGACGCCGATATCGAAAACGCGCACATTTCCTCCGGCAGATTCTCGCATATGATATCACCTATATATATAACCAACAAAATTCATAACAAGATCCTATCTTTATTCTAAAAAAATATGTAAAGATTATTTTTTAAATCAGGAATTTATGTCCGATTAGATCCAAACAAATGAATTATGAGATCTAGAGACGGTGTGTTTGACATATGTAAAACGATACTTATGCCCGAAAACAACGACCATATATACTACATATTGGGAATTGTGAAGAAACCCAAAGAAATATAATGACATGTAAATTATGTGTAATGTAAATTCTCTATAAATTTTTTAATGATATATGATCATTCGGGTATGCAAATTCACGTTGAATTGAATAAAAATACGTAAAGGGCATATATATATATCAACGTATATGTGAATGTTTGTGTAATCATACCTAAAGCTGCATGGAGAAGTAGGGATGAGACAATGATGGAAATTGCTAATTTGAAGGACGAAGACATTTTAATTTCCTTACGCTCTCTCTCTCTCTCTCTCTTATTTTCTATTACAAGTTTTTTGGTGATTGCAATAGAGAAGATATAGCAAGGAAATAGGAGGTTTCTCTTGAAGATTAAAAGGGGTTTTTGCATATGCGTATATATATAGGAGGAGAAGGAAATCATTTGATTCGATTTTTTTTTTCCAATCATAAAATATTCTAGAAATTTGAATAATTAATTCTTGTACAATGGCAACGTGCGCCACGACCGACAAATTTATTCTTATTATTAACGGAAAAAGATACCAAATATAATACACAAAAAAAAACATATCCACAAACAAGGAATAAAATTGAAATACGATCTTCTATTTTTGTTAGTTTAGTCCATTTTTTTATAATTTGATCTTATAGGCAAAATAATATCAAAATGTTCTAAATTCGGATGCAATTAAATCATAAAGTTCCTAATGTATAGATGAAAAACTAAACTTTTTTTTTTTATGTATTTATGTCTCTATACAATAATAGAACGTTCCGTTATAGAATTTTCAATAACGGTGATAAATGGTCAGATTATTATTTTCCCAACGACCATAGAGTTGTCCCGAAGAAAGGGTCAGCTTCTCTACGTGTCTGGAAATTTGTCGGAACTATGTATTATATATATATATATATATATATATATATATTTGATTTTCCTCTAATTTCAGTCAACCATACATTTCTTTGTTCGTCCATTTTAGAAACGCGTAAAATAGTCTGCTCTTCCCTGTTTGAATTTTCTGGTCAGCGGTTTAACGTGCTTTCATGTCTTTGATATATATATATATAATATTCAATTGTTTTGAAAAATCTATTATCTTCGTTTCCAAGCCCAATTCAAAATAAGCTCACAAGGCCTTAAAGATATATGGGCTTGAATAAACAGGCCGAATTATTTGCAATCTCAAAGAGACACGTGTGAGAAACCAATGGTCAAGATAAATGGGCCAAATTATTACAATCTATGGCCCATATTTTAAAGAGACGTACGTGCTTACATGTCTCATTGTATATATATATATATGTTTATCTTTGTTTGCATGCCCAATTAAAATAAACCCAATCGGCTGTAGGATAAATGGGCCTGCCTATTACAATCTAAGGCCCAGAAAAGAGAGAACCCATGGTCATTTTCGGAGATGTGGGGCCCATCGGCTTGCAAAACAAAACATTCCCTTTCTTCTCTCCCTCCTCCGAAGAACTTCCATAGCCAGAGCTCGAGATTCAAAATGTTTCCCAAGAAAATGGCAGCAATCGCCTCAACGACGTCGCACCACCTCCTGCTCCTCCAGCTCGCGCCATGTGATTGTGAACGCTTCTCTTCCTGGAGTACCCGTTCCCTCTTTTCTCTGGCGGGAAACGCACGCGGAGGCGGCAGGAGGAGTGAGGTGTATGGCTGTGGCTGCGAAGAAGAGTGGAGACTATACGAGGTGCGGACGCTGACGATCTGGTTGCTGAGGCAGGAGCAGAAGGGGACGATCGTGATCTCGACTCTCGAGCATATCCATGGCGTGTAACCAGATCGCGTCTCTGGTCCAGCGTGCCGGTTCTCACCGGCGTTCAATGTGCCGTCAACGTTCAGGGAGAGGATCAGAAGGAGCTCGACGTCGTCTCCAACGAGGTCACCCATATAGACATACACACATACACACACAAGTGTGTGTACACTTGATCTGTCTTCAAATAATAACACCAGAATCAAATATTCTCATAGATGGCAAGAAAAAAAAACCTTTATCCAAAGAAGAAATATAATTGTATTCAATCTATACCATCAATTTGCAAATATATTTGGATTTAATGTCATGTATCGGTACATTGAAAACTTCCTGCAATTAATCTCGAGAGATGCCATTAATGTGCGTTGGTGCTCTGGAACTGTTTGCAGTCAAGGAGATAATAGCTTCCGAGGAAGAGGGCGTTCCCGTGGCAGTGGAAGAGAGTTCCAATGTACAGAGAACATTCAGATCCCAAAGGCCGGAAGAATCTACGTTTTCAACAAAGGGAACTACCAAATGTGGGACTGAGAAGCTGAAGAAATACATTGATGATCTTAAGGACCCTGGGCCGAATGCCCGACTTGGTGCATTTGAAGTTTGATTGGGACATACGGTTATGGTTTACCCACCTGACAGGAAGAGCGAGAACAGGAAGCTGAGGCTGTTCTATAAATGTGCACAAATGACAGAAAGGGTCAGAATATCACCAGAGAGTACTTGATTGATATCCATCCGCACCGAACGTTTCATGATTCACTCAATTTGATTTTGACAACCAAAAATCCGATCAAAGTTCGCCGAAGTTTTGATTTTTTTAAACGATGGTTTGGCATTTGATTTCCTTTTATGTTTCTCATTACAGATGCATCAGAGGGGGAGCGGAAGAAATGAAGAAGTGGGAGAAGTACTTGGCTTGATTCAATGAGTTTCAACTCATTTGATTTGTAAGGCAATTTCTTAGTACATGCAAAAGGAGACATGAACTTTAAAAGAATTGAATTTGTTAAACCATATGGACCGACAATGAAATAATGTGCAAAAACTTACATCTTGTTAGGTATAATAAGCCACACAGCTACTGCTTTCAGGATTCAGAAGCATAGTTAGACTGACACTGGCGGATCTGAATCAGGTCATAGAATGTCCATTGTCTGTGTAGTGGCAATCTGCCTGCTGCTCTTTGCTGTGAAGGCAGAAGAAAGGATGGTTAAGGACGATGAGTTAGAGAAAGACGTCAACCTTTTCATCTCAAGCAGGAAAGAGCGGTGAAAAATTACCAGGACTTAAAATTCTTATGCATTTGGTTATGGATTTTACAGCAGTCATACCATCAGGCCCTGGAAACAACACAACAAGAGTACACAAGTGAGTGAAAGCAAGCAGGTAATGGATCCTCATCACCAAAAAAAATGAGACATTGCTCACCTTGTGTGTTCACATCCTTCCCTTGAATCACTTCTGTCACTGTGGATGTATATTCAGACAAGACAGGGTCAGGAGGCCCTAGATTCCCATCCCCTGATTCAGGGGATGACCTGAGATATTCAGAATAGCATCTATCAGCAATATGGCAAAGAGCAGTTGGAAAAAGTTTCAGAAATTCATCCTGTAACCGAAAGAGCAATACCCTGAAACAGTTTCTTCAGGAACATTTGACGGCAGTGGCAGGCAAGGATCGACGGCTACTTCATAACCAAGATCAAAATCACCTAGTAGCTCTGAGAAGGAAAAGTTTTCTCCTAAAATTTCTAGATTAGGAAAATCCATGTCAAAGAAATCGGTTTCCTGTTCAGAACCAGATGGGGACGTTGAAACCACATCTGTCGCCATGGAAGAATCTCCAAAATCGAGTCTTCCTTTCGCATGGCCACCCTTGTTAGACTTGGCTGGTGATGACGAAATCACATGGCTCCTTTCCACTGTATATGAAGTAATTTGCTTGAGAGGGCTGACCGTGATTCTCTCCTTTGTAACGATTGTGCAGTTTGCAGGAGTAAGAGTAACATCTTGTGGGGAGATAGATTTATCGGTCTGAGAAGACACTTGCTTCTGTGGCGTCTTAGGGCAAGTTGAAGTGATCGGAGGCGACACAATGGTATCTTTATTGAACAAACACTTTGCTACATTGGATCCATGGCCAGACAACTCATTTCCTGCGTTGATCTTTGCCAATGTTTGCATTTTAGATGGACTTCGAGACTTCGAGCAGCTACCCGCATTATTATCAGATTGCAGGAATTTATCGGTCCCTAGAACCCGAAAACAAGATCCGAGATAAGTCCAAGGAAAATGAATCGTGTAAAGGAATAAACACATAGGGGACACATTAACACACTTACCATAATCGCTAGCCAAGTTCTCGGTTGCTGTCTTGTTCCAGGTTTTCCTGAAAACAGATGGAGCTCCTGAAGAAAATTCAGGACCTTTGCGCTTTCTGGGTATCGACTGTCCGGTAGAAGGTGTCGGGAAGTTCCCGCAATACATTCTCTTGTTACCTGGCAATGACACTGCCATAACATTTGGTGTGTTGTACATATTGCAGCCTGAATATGACAAACAAATGATTAATTGGTTTATATTGGAGGATTTGTCAAACAAATGGTACAGAAAATGGAGTAATCTTTCACTGCTGAAGAATTTCATGTATAACCCCCCCGCATTGGATCTCACTGAGTACATATTAGCGTAAAACCGTAATGGATATATCAATTCACAGCCTAAAATGCTTCAAATTCTATATTGGAGCAATAAACAATGAAGATCAAGAACATCTGAAGCAAAAATTTCCTGCTCCTAACCAAACCATTCTAAGCAGAGCCCCAAGTGAAAATGCAGAAGCAGAAAGGCGTCCAAAAATCTCAGTACCGGAAGGAGATTCACGGAAGTTGTTCTGCTGAGGAGTCCCGACGGCTGATTGAGAAATCGCCGGAGTTACTATCTGGATCGCCGGAGAAGGATCCGCCGCCGCCGGGATCGCCGGATGAGGGGCGGCCACATTGGCGTTGTAAGCGTTCATCACATTCTGCATTCCCTGCAACAGACTTTGAACCCTAGTTTTCTCCTGCTCCAGTCTCGCTTTCTCCTGATCCATCATCACCTTCTGCTCCTTCAGGCATATGTATTCTGTTATAATATCATCCAAAGTCATCAAACTCTTCGGAACCTGCGAATTTAAACGAAGACCCAAATCAGCAAATCAGAGAGAATGATGACCCAGATCAGGAGAAACGTTGAAGATTAATGATGCACAGACCTCGCGAGCTGGAGAATTGGATATGAGAGAAGAAGCTTCAGATCTGAACATGGATCGGGTTTCGGAGAAGCGATTGTCGCAGAGGTAGCGATCGACGAGGAAGGCGACCTGCCTCGGAGTGATTTTCCCCGTTCCGAAATTCTCCGATCGCTTGGATCTGCTATGCTTCCCCATTTCCGCTGAGATCAAAACCCTAAGACGCTGAGCAAATGAACAGAACTGATGAAGAAGATAAGTAAAAGGCGAAAAGAAGCGGGAGATTTTGAAACCTTTGTTTTTTCTTTGCCGGGAAATGCTGCGTGTGTTTATGGCGGTAGTGTTTGAGGGGTAAAACTGGAAATATTTTATAATTTCCAAATATTTACGGTCAAACCGGATCTGTTAGACCTTCTCATTGACCAAGAGGTTTCCTTTCTTTGGAGTGAAAGAAAGATTCATGTTATCGCTTGAATATTGCAACAACAAAAAAAAAATGGCATGCGCATGTTAGTTTAATCCCGAAGGAAAACAGTAAAATGTACATAATACTTAGGAAACCTCATTTACTTTTACTTTTACTTTTTATTTGTTTTTTTTTCCTTTTATGATGTTACCTTTTCATATCTTGTCCTTACGTGAATGCCAGCTGTTTAAGCTTTTCGCATACTAACCCCAATATTTTCCATAGTTATCATTTTCTACCACCAAACTGCATCGACAAAAATAATATATTTAAGAGAGAAACATTTATCAGTAAATATATAGGATAGCCCATCTTATACAATGTTTTATTATATTATAATGATAACACTTCGTTATAAAAAAAATATATAAATACTAAACAAAACTCCGTAATTTTTTGGATCAAATCTTTTTTTTTATTGACTGATAAAGCTTTTAATATTTATCAGTATTTAGTACAAAATACATATATTATATTTTTAATATAAATTTAAGAAAATATACTTTCCAATATACCATCTTATTTTTTGATTCTATAGAATAATTGGTGCAAGTATAACAAAACAAGAAGCCATTTAACATCTTTCAATGTTTTTGGCTGTGAATAGAAATATTATAAAATATAGGGTCATAAATGAAAATAAGGATAATAGAATCAAAGCAAAAACGGAAGGAAGGTTTTTTAACAGAAACGAGGAGCAAAAAGTTTATTACTTTTCGCATCGCCCAAGTAGAAGACCCATCCCTCTCTGTTCTTCCCCAAACGCTTTACTCTCTCCCTCTCCACCATGAAATGAAATCTCTTCTGAAACCCTAGAATTCCTGTTCCAGTTTACAATCCATCTCAAACCCACTTCTCATCAATGGCGGATTTCACTCTCTCCAGTTACTTCGCCTTAACTGCACTCGCTTTCATCGCTTTCTTCTCCGGAATCTCTCTCTCGGACGATGATTCTTCTCGTTTCTCCTTCCCGAGTTTCGGCAAAGATGTGAGCTTTGAGTCCGACATCGCTATGCACGGCGATGCCAAGGTCGTCGATGGCGGATCTTCGATTCAACTGACTGACTCGGTGAGTTACAGTAGTGGGCGGGTCGTGTATAAGAAACCCATTAAGCTCGTTGCGAATGATCCCGAGTTTCCATTTCCTGCTTCTTTTTCTACCTCTTTCTCGTTGTCAATGTCTCGTGATCGAGGAAGTTGTCTTGGATTTGTAGTGTTTCCTGCTTTGTCTGGTAATAATGGCAAGATTGGGTCTTCTTTGTTCCAAGTTGAATTCGACACCTCTGCTAATGTCTCCAAATACGGAGATTCGAACGAGAATCACGTTGCGGTGGTCGTGGATGGCTCGGTGTTGGAGAAGATCAGCAACTTCACGTCTGAGAATTTGGTTATGAACGAAGAGGAAAAGCTGTATACTTGGATTGATTACCAAGCGGGTTCTAAAAGATTAGAGGTTCGATTCAGCAACTCAGGAGATGCCAAACCCAGTGAGATTCTGATGTCTTGTTGGATCGATTTGTCGGAGATGTTGAAGGATAACGAGTTCATGGTGGGTGTTTACTCTTACAACCGGAACTCAACTCAGACGTACAATCTCCATTCATGGAGCTTGGAAGTAAGGAGAATCCCGAGATGGATGCACTCTTATGCTCTTGCTGATCCAGATCATGACGAATCCGCATCGGATAAGAAGAGGAAAGACACGGCAAGACAGATTCTAGCTTGCTTCCTTACCACATTTGGATCCACGGCAGTCCTGTTCTTCGCCGTGATATATCTTTGGACATTCTTGCGTAGAAACAACCTTGTTATGGTTGTGCCTGAGGAATGTGGGCTTAAAGGAAAGGAGTTCGAGTACAAGAAGATGGAGAAAATGGAAGTTGTTCTGAGTAAAGGTGAAAAAGAAGAGCCCAAGTGAATGGATTGGATTGATATAACCCTGAATTCAGTTTTCTCGCTTATGTTTTTGTAAAGCTGTGATCTTTTCATGGTTCCAGTAGTTGCAGGTCTTCTGGGTTGTGTGATAGTCTGTTGTATGTTTTTAATTCATGTGTACTTTGATGCAGTGATGCTTCATATGTAGTTTCCCATTACAACGCAGGATTGTGTCCAAAAGTCATTCATGTTTCTGTTTCAGTCCACAGCAAAAACCCTAAAAGCCAGATAGTTAAAATCTAAGTAGAGAACATAGCTAAAGCCTAATTCGACAAGCATATCATCAAGAGCCCATCTCTGGACAGGAAAAAAAAAGATCTTTTTCGGATTATCACTATAATCTCCAAGGTGGCTCCTATTATGAAGAACACGTCATCGATCATGATTGGAAAACTGGATAAAGGTTCAGGCATTTTGATACAGAGAAACCCAGAAACAGAAGGAGCATCTCAGACATGAAAAAGAATGAGGTCATGATTCCTGTAGAATGAACCGTGAAAGCCCTTAGCCAGATCCAAAGTTCTGGACTTTTTTCTGTGTGGATCCAAGAAAGGTGTCTTCTTTACCTTGTGTTCGAAGTTAAATTAATGGAATGATGCTATGTAAAATGTAAAGATCATTGTGTCTGTATTACAGAGAAGGGTTTCGAGTAAATGTAAAACCTTGGTTGTGGTTTGATAATCATAGGATTCTGCAATCTGGGTCTTCCCTAAAATCAGGCAAAAACCGACAAGAAATGCTCGATTGAGTCCGTGAGATGTCAAATACTTCCCAACTGAACAGTTACAGGGGAAGACAACAACTTGAAGACCATAACTGTAATGTTTAAAAAACATAACGGGCAGTCTCATCCTGTACTGACAGGATGGATGAGACCAATGATTCGGCCTTTTGAGTGACTTTCTCCTGCCAGTTTGGAACTCTGCAAGTGTCCATCCTTGGACATAACAAAGATTTAGGGTCGTTTCAAGAAATTCTGCTCATGTCAGAAGAAGAACAAAAGACATGGGTACTGGGTAGGTACGATGTATAACACCATTTCCAAATTCATGTCCAAATGTACAATCAGCTCTGAGTTATACTGACAACAACAATGTGAGGAAAAGAATGATGAGCAAAAAGAATGGTGCTTGCCGTTTGACCCTGGAATCTATCTGAGGATTCGATCCTTTCTGCTTTACCCTTTTGGATTTCCAATGTCGGTTTTCAATGCAGAATCTTGTCAGGGTCCATCCTGTATGGAGAAAACGATGCTACAAACTGTTCTAAATCTTCCAAGAAACCGGGTAGTTTCTTCCTATTATGGTACAAGACTGAAATCTTGACTCAATGTGTTCAGCGTGTTCCCATGCTGCAGATCATCATTCTTCAGTAGCAAACAAGAACACAAAGCTGAACTGACAAAGATCTTGATGAACACTGGCTGAAACACAGTGTACTCCTCAGCACTATCTCGAAGCACTTCTCTTCCATCTCCTTGATTCTGTTCTTAGACTAGATCTCCATATCTGATTTGCTTGAGACCCATTACAGATGCAGTCGGGTTGTGGGTTTGCATAGAAATTCTCTTCTAGCCGAGGGAATTCTCCGGGCCTTCTCAGGTATGGAGCTCCGATCCTGTCTCTATGCAATCTCTTCACCTCAGAAGAAAAATCTTCCCAAGACATCACACCCTCGTCGAAATGATCTATTAGTCTAACAAAATTTAGCCTGAAACCACAGAACAACATCTCAACAGATAGTTGTAGAAACCAGTCATAGAGCAAAAAGGAAAGATTTTTCCCGCAGATTCGAACCTGTCTGGATTGATCGTCTTCCTAAACCCTTCAAACCTCCGATGCCCTTGTACCGCCTTAGCCATATTCCCGTCGTATGTATACACAAAAACGTCACTTTCCAGAGCAACAATGTAATCCAGTGCAGCAAGGCGGTTCTGGTATGGTCTAAAAGGCTCTAACTCTTCTTCGGTTGCTAGAGTTGAATGTGAGAATACGTTAGGGTATTCTGCACGGAAAGCGTCCATACTGTTTCTTCCATATATTTCACCGGCAACTATGTATATAGTTGTGGAGGATGGGTAACCCATGGCTTTTAGAAACATGGCTGCCTCTCGTGGAGACATTGGACACCCGCCCTGGGCCCGTCTCTCCCTGCTGTCAATCTCTTTCTCCTTCCAATGTTTAACACCGTACCTCATTATTCTCAGTTCCTCGGCTTCTTCACCCGTAAGGTTATGGCTGCAGCCTGTAAAGGCGAGCATATCTTTCTCATATCTGCAATTCAAAAACCTCAATTTTTTCAGTACCCTTTTCTCAGAAGAAACAATGTATCTGTATTCCTCAAATTTGGACAACTGTGTGTCTCAGAAGAAAAAATTGCATCTGGGGGTGTACCTCAAATGCAGGGCAATGTACGGCTCAGTGTTGTTTCTTAACCGGTTAACCAGAACCTCCCCGAGATCTTCAATCTCCTTGGTATACCTAAGAGCCTGGTAATTAGCACGGCATCTCAGCCGTTGGATCGATGGGGGCAAGCCATTGTTAGCCAGCCGAGAATCAGTGTGTGTGAACTTTATCACCTTGTGTCGTTTCAACAATGGCAGCATCTCGCTTCTGTAGTAACTAGCCTGCTCGAGCGAGAGAATGAAACGTTAAAACAGATTTCGCCCCTTGATCCGTTTAATGGAATAATATAAAAGCACAAACCTTTGACCAAGAAACCGGAGCTTTGAGAAGAGCCTTCATTGCAGCGTAGCGAGGAGGCAAGTACTCAACAATGTCGACCTCTTCTTTCATCACGTTCATGAAGTGTCTCCAATCGAAAATATCTTTGAAGGTGCTGCAGAATATACAGGATTCTTGGTTCATGTTCCAGTTCCTTTCCTCAGAAAACACAAGAAAGAAGATAGGACACACTACCTCGGATCAGTCCAGAAAGACTCGTGATCGAGGAGAGGAAGAACAAGAGTTGCATTCATAACCTTGGCCACAGCAACCATGTCGCATATCTGCAAGATTGATCCGATCGGCAAATCAGTTGAAAACGGTGAGAAAACCAAAGGATCGAACTTTAGGAAATAAACTGGAAAATGAACCAACCCCTGTTCTCATTTGATTCAGTCCGCCATTAGCATGTACTAGAAGATACCCATTAGTTTTCCGGCGCAGCCCTTTCGACAAAAAAAAAGGCATATTTCAGGGAAAAAAACAAGAACTTGAGGCTGAAACTATGAATCTGATTGAGGAATTAAGACAGGGGACATATACAAACATACTTGTTCGGTTCTTGGGACGTGCTACACATTGGCGATAATTTCCGCTCTCTGGTTTCTGCCATATTTCTGGAACCTACAGGATAAAGAAATCCCATGAAAATCAGATCAGAGAGAAAGACATTCAATCCTCCATCTTTGGAAAAGATCAGAATTTGTTCGATCCCCATCTCTGAGACTTCCGAATACAATGATAAAAGAAGGCCACAAATCCAGAAAGCTTCTCATCCTATAGACAACTATCATAAGTTAACGAATATAATTCATGCAGAAACTCGAATAGAGCTTCAAATCCTTCAAACAATCACCATAATTCCAGTTAAAGTTCGTAAATTTTTAATCAACACATGTACAGCGACAAATAACTTGTTTGAAAGATTGAACATTTGGCATTTCGTCTTCTCAATCTATGAAGGGTCAACTTCATGATCACCAAACAGAGACATATTCTTAGCATTTCAACTGAGAAAATTTGTCAAACACCAACACGCGTGGATTTGGATCACTAGCAAGTTTTTGAATTTTCCAGAGAAAATAGAAAGTCAATGGGAATCGTAAGAAAGTGATGACCCACAACAAAAAGCCGCCCCAACCCCAATTCCTTTGACTGATTCTCGTCAAATTCCACAAAAAATGAAATTGTTCATATAACGGAAGTGCGCCCAAGACGTAGAAATATCATTAGTTTAAACATAATGATTGGAGAATGATGAGTTGGTGACTCAATGATTAGACCCACACCATTTTTTCCCTCCGTTTTCTCTACGAAGTTTCCCGAGAAAAAAAAAACTAATTTTGTCAAGGATGGGAAATCCATCATTCATTGATTGAGATTCTTCGAAATTCTCAATCGAATATCGTGAGCAGGCGGGAAATTGATTTGGCTTTGATCAGAAAACGCCAAAAGTTTGTTTTCGCATTTGATTTTCTCGGGGAATAATCAGAAAATAAGATCAGCATCGACTAGGAAAGATTGCAAATTAGGGAATAGCCCGGATAACGAAAATGATGCCGAAATTTGTTTGTTTTAATGGGTGATTTCAGAAACCAGGAACCGCCAGGATCCTCGAAATTTTCTCGGGAAACAAACGGAAAATGAACGCAGAATGCAAGAAAAACTTACGGGCAATCTCTCGAGGACACGCATTGGCTCGGAAGAAGCTTCGTTTTCGGCCAAAGCTCGTTGGGCCATCGACCAATCTTCACGGAACGTCCGTACGAAGACGAACTCGTTCAAGTCACCCCTGTGCGCGTTGTCCTCCACGCGCCCACCCATGAACGAGACCTTGAGGAACACCGAAGCGACCACCAGAGCCATGAGGAGGGCCAAGATCCGACGCCCCACGTTCCTCCCTGATCTGAACCCTTGCCCGATCGCAGCCGTCAATCCTCCGCCGCCTAAGAATGGAAGCCATATTTTCCGGAGGAGCAGATATCGGATCGCGGGGTGGTGGTGGAACTGGTGGTAGTGGTCGTGGTGGTGGTGGGACCCACTCGACGAAGATCCTGCGGAGGAGGCAGGTGATGGGCACGCGCCGCCTTGCTCGCCGACTTCTCCGCCGTCCAAATCCGTCGAAATGACGACGTTGCTCACTCCTCCTCCGCCACCGACGCCGGAGATGTTGACTACGTTGCAGTAATCGGACGAGTTGGAGGGTCGCTCAGAGGCAAAGTCCTGCGAATCGCCGACCCGGCGGCGCGTTGTGGTGGGTCCCGCCGGGATCGACGCGACGGTCAAAGGGTTGTTCATATTTGTCGTCGACATCTCGTCGCCGGAAAACTAACCGATCACGGAAAGAAAGCAACCTAAAAATTCTATATCTTTTCCTTCCCAGGGAAAGACAGAAAAAAAAAAGTTGGTTT